TAGTATGCCATAACTCTACAAATACATGTCCTTGCAAGAAAAATAATCTAAAAAGTAAAAATCCTTTCATAATTTCATGTTCCACTAAAGAATTTTATGTCCCATAGACTTTGTTCTGCATTTGACCTGGCCTCATGTCGTGCAATGTGCTTTATTGGTTGCCATTTGATATGTCCATAGTGGATCCTTCTGTTTTACATATATTTTGAAACTGAACTTGGTCATTGACTTGGAGTTTTCAACTACCTGAGAAATGGATATTTGGATTGATAATTAGACAGCAGTTTCCCACATGTGAGGCTGATGCTTAGATCGTTCACGTGGATCTGTTATCACATAAATTTTCTTCTGGTTAAGGTTAACTAATGGGGTCAAATGGAAACCTCATTTTAAATCCTTAGGTTTGCTTTTATGTGTTGAAGAATTATTAAGATATTACTTCTACATTATTACTTTCATAATCTCCGACAAGGAGAAATTTAAACGATTTGATTTGAGGTGAATCTTCAGCATTCAGTTTATTTTTGATGTTATCTTCTGTTCCTTGAAGTTAATATCTGGTATTCTAGCTATGAACTTCATCAAATGGAATGCATCATACATAATTCTGAATTATTTACATATGATATTACACATGTTTTTATTCTAATAACAAGTTTTTAGGCAACCTTTATCAGCTAAATATGCGTTTTCATACCTAGGAAAGCAGCTCAGATTATGTTTTATCTATTAGCTATCAACAATTAGCAATGCATTTTGAGTTGCAAGAGGGAATGGCATTTGGGAATATCGGTTTTAGTGGTTGCATATGAGATTTTCGGGCTGAATGAGTGTTATGGATTATAGTCTACTGGTTGAAGCCAGTGGATTAGTACTAAGGAAAATGTAAGTACTTTCAAATATGGTTGCTAATATATGGGTCATTCATACTCGACGAATGACTTTGTTATAACAGCACAATTCAACTAGTCTTATTTGAATCTTATTTCTGATACTTAGAGATAGAAGTAGTAGATTGCAGGTACTGGAGTGTAAGAGACTAGGAAAAACTTCCATCTGGCTGGGTTAAACTCTAACTGTCAACAAATTAGCAATGCATTTTGAGTTGCAAGAGGGAATGACATTTGGGTATATCGGTTTTAGTGGTTGCATATGAGATTTTCGGGCTGAATGAGTATTATGGATTGTAGTCCACTGGTTGAAGCCAGTGGACTAGTACTAAGGAAAATGTAAGTACTTTCAAATATGGTTGCTAATATATGGGTCATTCATACTCGATGAATGATCTTGTTACAACAGCACAATTCAACTAGTCTTATTTGAATCTTATATCTGATACTTAGAGATAGAAGCAGTAGATTGCAGGTACTGGAGTGTAAGAGTCTAGGAAAAACTTCCATCTGGCTGGGTTAGACTCTAACTGTCAAAGTTATTTCTTTTAGAAAACGGAAAGAATTATTGATTCCTGATAATTAAGAGGCAGGTATTTGTTAAGAGAACTTGCCTGAATAGTGCCCCTAAGACATGGGCTTCAATCTGGAAGCACAATTACCACTAACAGCAAGAATTTTCATTGAGTATGTAATCTATTTATATCTTCTTGAAAGAAGCTTTCAGAGTCGATGATCAAAGAGATTCAGGATGATATTCTTTTTAGACACTAATGGTATGGTGGTGTTACATTAAAAAAGAAAAGAAAAGAAAAGAAAACTAATGACGTGGTGATGCTTTTCAAGCTTCTATTTTGTCTGAATGTCTGTGGAGAAGTCACAAATCCAAAAAATCTCTATTATAAAATATGATGGACATATCACTTACTTAGAGAAGATGAAGAACTGGTGTCTTTCCAAAAGGCACAAAAAATATAGAGGGTATGTTTGTCACGGAATGGATAGTCGGGTATCTCAATTCAATATCTGTGGCCTGGTATTGACATGTCTATAATTTTGTTTATAATTAAGTTCATATCTCAATTTAATATTCTTCAACATTTTATCATATATACTATTTAGGCAATTAAAACATAGGTAAAAAATACGGAATTATACCACAGTATACCAAATGAACTAGATACAAAATATACTAGTTTTATTTTATAATTTACACTAAAAGTAGTGTAAAAATAAATCTGATGATCAAAGGAAGTACCGCTGGGTGCTTTGGAGACTTTCAAGACACTTCTCTAGTTGGTGACTAGCTATTGGATCCTTGCAGAGTTGAATAAGTCCGTATTAACCAGAGGGTTCTCGAGATTCAACTATGATGACGAGGGGCTATGGATGGAGGTTGTTAGAGTCAGTGCTAAGAGAGGATTGAGAACAAGTAGGAATTGAGGGGGTGTATGGCTCTAGCTTATGGAGCTAAATAAATCGGGATTGGAGTGTGGTGGCTAATCTTGTTCACTTAAGGTTGTCTAGTGGTCTCTGTGTGAGCTTCTGGGACAATTTCTGGTGCATTGAAAGGAGATTGACGGACAATTTATGTGTTTTGAATGTGTCCAGAAGTAAAGAAGGTTTGGTGAGTGATTACTTGGAGTTGGGTGGTTGTGGATCCAAGTGGAACATTCAACTTTCAAGGCATTTGAGCTATTGAAGTGTATGAATAGGTTTACTGGCTAGCAAGCTCCAAGCAAGATGAGTTTAGATGATAAGGATATTCCCGTATGGCCTTTCTCAAAGAGTGGGGTGTCCAAAGTTAAGTCTTTTATAATTTTTTGTCTCAAATTTATATTTCTTTGGGTTTTCCCTGGGAGCAATCTGGAAGAGGAAAGATCCAGCTCTAATAACATTTTTTGCTTGGAATGCCACTTGGAGACAGATTCTTACCATATACAATTTGATTGCAAGAGGTAGAATTCTGATCAATAATTGCCCTATGTGTCTTTGTGAGTGTGAATCCTGAACCAACTTCTTCGGTATCTGGAAGCGACAAGGTTGTTGAATTCTATCCTTAACCTCCTCAGCTTGCTTTGGATTTCCAATGGCTTGCTATTGGACTGGGATGCTCCATGTCAAGGGAATTCCAAGGAGAATATGCTTAACTTCATTTGTTGGGCCCTATATTGGTTATTTGAAAAGAAAGGAAGAGAAGAACTTTTGAGGGCATTGCTTATCTTTTGATGGCATGAGAGATCACTGGTTCAGGGGACCTTATCTATTTTCTTTAAAGGTCATCCTCTCCTTGAGGGAAATGATCTTGCAAACATGAGTGACACCACCTCGATACCTTGATACAATATTTCCCCATTATCTAAAAAAAACTGCTATTTTTGCTAGTAGTCAGATAATGATTATGTTGGTTGAATTTTGCTATCATTTGGTTTAATTGAGGTTGATGGTGTTGTCCCTATGTAAGTGTATGAAGAAATAATCTTTTCATGCCACACTATAAAAGAATGTCCTATAAAAGAAGCCATGCTGGAATGTAAGATGATTTGGTTGCTCTTTGCCTTTGGGATTTCATGGGGCATTAGTTCATCCATCAAAGTAAATTTATGTGTAATGAAACAGTAATAACCTATGTGCACTTGAACCTATTTGGTTTTCTAAAATTATGTCAAAAGCAGCTTTTTTGAAACCCCTAAGTTTCTTTTTCTAATCCTTTTTCTTGGTTACTGTAATCTTGCAAATCATCTTTGGGTTTTCTTCAATTTGTTGTAGGGAGATTGTAACCGTCATGATTAACATTCTTTTTTCCTTCTTGATTTTCATTTTAGGTTCAGAATCTCATAGAAAGATGTCTTCAGCTCGACATGAACCAGAAAGAAGTTGTGGAAACTCTACTGGAACAAGCAAAAATAGAGCCTGGTTTTACTGAACTAGGTATCTAAAAAAATGTTTTGTACTGTCTGATATTACTTCTTCTATTATCTTTTTGAAATGAAGTGTACGAGTATACAGTTAATTCTGTTGATCACTGAAGAAAACCTAAAAGAGGAGTTGAAGAAACGGAGAGGAAACTTTAGGTTTTTTTCGTCTTATTAGTGAATGAAGAATGTGCAGAATATATAGTAAAAAGTTTAGCTAAAAATCAGGTCCTAAGTTTATATAATTGGAGGAAAATCCTGCACTAGAAAAAGAGAAAAATCCTAGATTGGAGAGGTACCATGCTAGAAAATCTGGGATAACAGCACTGGATTACCATAATCCCCAAGTTATCAAGTTGGATAGGGATTCTGCACTCTCCTCAAGGTAGGCTGTAGATATGCTACATGCACAGCTTGTGACTCAATTCTTCAAAATTAGTTATAGGAAGAGTTTTAGCGAGAATATCTGCAATTTGGAGCCTTTTAGGAGTGCATACTAGCTGAATGACTTCCTTCTCAATTTTCTCTGTAATGAAGTGTCGATCTATCTCATTGTATTTTATCCTGCACTAGGTTCTTTTCAATTCATATGGCAGCCTGGTTATCATAGAACATCTGAATAAGCTTTCTACTCTCTATTTCATTTCATTAAGTAATCTTTGTATCCACATTTCTTCGCGTATACATAAGCAAGAGCTCTAATCTCAACTTCTGCACTGCTTCTTGAGACTATTGGTTGTTTCTTAAATCTCCAAGTAAAAAAGATTTTCTCAAACATAAGAACAACATCCGACTGTTGAGCATTTATCATTCAGATCTCCTGCCCAATCCACATCTATGAAAACTTCAATACTTGTATTGTCGCTTATTTTGAATAACAGACTGGGGTTATTTTAAGATACATTAAGATTTTATTCACAGCTTTCATTTGCTCTTTTGTTGGAGTATTTATGAACTGACTCACAAACTAAAAGGAAGCCCAATGTTAGGTCAAGTGTGTAAGAGATAGATGAGTCGTCCTACAATCACTGCCTTCTCCATTTCCTATCTTCTTGGTTGGATTAGTTGTAGTTTCTGCAATTTTACAGCCAAGCATACTGTCTCTTTTAGCAAATCCAGAATATATGTTCGTTGAAAGAAAATATATCTTTTTTAAGTTGTGCCACCTACATGCCAAGAAAATATATGAGATTTTCGAGGGCTTTGATCTCAAAATCTTTGGGGAAAATCTTCTTTAGGCCTAATATTTTCTCATCACAATCACTTTTTAAGATAATATCATCAATTTACACAATTAGAACCGCTATCTTCTTTCCTGGAGAGAACTTCACGAACAGTATATGATCTGCTTGGCATTGAGTGTATCCATGATTGATCATAAAAATCATGCACGAGGAGATTGCTTAAGGGCATACAGTGATTTTTTCAATTTGCACACTTTGATAGTGTTAGAGCAATTATATACAGTTCTCCTTCTAGATCACCATTTAGAAATGTATTTTTGACATCCAACTGATATAGTCCCCAATCTTCATTTGCGGCTAGAGAAAAGAGAACTCTAATAGTGTTGAGTTTGGCCACTAGAGCAAAGGATTCTTAGTAGTCAATCCCGTAAGACTATTAAAGCCTTTAGCAAGTAGGCAAGTTTTTAGTCTCTCAACCTTTAATGATTCTTTTCCAGTAGGAAGATCTGAAATTACCCATACGCCATTCTTTTCAAGTGCTCTAAGCTCTTTATTTACAGCTTTTTCCCATTCTGGACTCTTGAGGGCCTCCTGAATAGAACTCTGCAACTATCAAGAGTCGAAATAAGCTTCTGATATGATGGTGATAGCCCTCATATGAGACAAATTGCAGATAGGATGATTTGTGCAAGTTCTAACACCTTTTCTTATGGAATTGACATATCTAAATGATCAACAACAGATGCAAACATTCTCATAATCAGAAGTTCCTTTATCTGGGTGAATTTGAGTAGGTACTGGATCTGCTTCCGACTCTTGATCACATGAGGGTTGTGTTTGGGTTTTTATCTCCTTCTCTGGTTTTTTCCTTGTAGTGTAGACACAAAGTTCATGACTTATGGATTGATTTGGGGCTGGAGTGGTTGCAGAGTGATCATCAGCAACAGGCTGTGGTACAAATTGGTCATGGATGGAAGGACTGTCAACTTGTAGTGTTTTGGTTGAGGTGATTCATCAAGAATGTTCCAAAGATGATATTCTTCTCATATTTTCCCATGAATATCAGACTTAGAGTAGTAGGATTCATGTTCAGAAAACGTTACATCCCTTAAAATGCACATTCTTTTTTATGATTGGGGAGTAGCATTTATAATCTTTTTGCTTAGGGGAATAGCCCAGAAAGATGAAGTTGATGGTTAGGATCTAACTTGCTATGATGTCGTTGGTGTATGTGAACAAGATAGAACATCCAAATATTTTAAGATCTAGGGAAGAGATGATTTTGCTATTTGGGAAGGCTTGAAGTAAAACCTGACATGGAGTTTCAAACTTAGATACTCAGGAAGACATTAGATATGATGCTGTAAGAACAACCTCTCCTTTTTTTTAAGATAAAAAGTATAAACATTAGCATTGCATTGCACCAAGGGGGTGCAACCCATGTACAACTTTACATTTCAGTAATACTATCTATGATGTGTCCCAAATCCTCAGAAGAATTCTGGAACATGAGTGGAGAACACGAGAGATCATGGCTACCTCATATAAGATGTCAGTTCTTCCTCTCAGCAATGCTGTTTTGCTGAGGGGTGTCACTACTGGAACTAATGTGTATAATCCCCTGACTCAAGAGATAAGTATCCAAAGCAATTTTGAAGTACTCTTTGGAACTATCAATTTTTAGAACTTGGATTTTGGTATGTTGTTGGGTTTGTATCATGGAGTTGAAATTTTGAAATATTTGTCTTACCTCATATTTTTCTTTCATGAGGAATATCCATGTCCATCTAGTGTGATCATCCACAAATATTAAAAACCATTGAGTTCCCATTATATTTTTCACCATTGAGGGATCCCAAACATCACTGTGAATCATGGAAAATGGTTGAGATGGTTTGTACAAAGACTAGGATAGTTGCCGCAAGTGTGTTCTGAAACTTGTCATATTTCGCAACAGAAAGACTTTGGATTATTATTATTGAAAAAAGGATGAAACAACTTTTCCAGATACATAAAGTTTGAATGACCTAGACAGTAGTGCCATAACATAATTTCATTATTTTGTTTGATACAATGATTGGAATTTGGCACACAGGTTCTTTTTTGTGCAAGGCTTACATAAGGAATATCACCTTTGAGAAGAATTTAGTTTTATATATAGATCTTGAGTCATTTTGCTAAATGAAAGTAGATTATAGTTTAGGTTCTGAATGTAAAGAACAATGTTAAGAATAATTTCCTTTGTGACCAAGACAGAACCTATTCTCTCGATTTTTGATAGAGATCTGTCAGCTATTTTGACTGCATACTTTTTAGCACATGCTCTGTACTCCTGTAAGAGTGTCCTGTCTCCTTTCATATGATCTAAGGCTCTTGAATCAGTGATCCGCGAACGATTGTTCTTATTGATTGTGAGTGCTTCTAAAGAATTACTTGTTTGTGCTAGCATGCCAGTTCCAAGCTTAGGCATATTTGGTTAAATTTGTAGGTTCTGGCTGAAGAGTCTTTGTAGGGCTTCAATTTGTTCTTTAGTGAAAGGACTTGAGTCTGACGAAATGGGGATTTCTGCTTTTGTGACAGTGGCATGTGCATGTCCTTCCATGTCATTGCTAGGTTGGGAGGGCTAGTAATTTTCTTTGAGGTGTCATATTTCAAAAAAAAAAAAAAAAAATTCTTTGAGGTGTCTTAACTTTTGATGGTAGTCACACCATGGTCTTCCTTTTCTCTCACAGTTTTCATTGTGATGGTTGTTGATTGGGAGTCCTCAGGTTACAAATGCAGATCCTTCAAGACTTTGTGCACGAGTTTGGGATCCCATTCATTACTTTCTTTCGGCTTTCTTCACGTCTAACTTCTATAAATGCCTCTAAGAGACTTGGAAGAGGTTTGATTCCCATCACTCTCTTCTGAACTTCATCTAGGTCCTTGTTAAGGCGAAGGAAAAACTTGAAAAGCTCGCTTTTGTTCCACAATTGTTTTATAGCTAGCAGCTCTTGAGGACACTTACTTGAATAGATTTTGAACATATCAAGTTGTTTTGCCAGTAGCAGTTGAGAATGTCGAAGTATTGGGTGGCCAAGAGAACTTCTTGATGTAAATAGACTCAATTTGGAACAATTCTGAAGTGCTTTCAATACTCAAATAATTCTTCTTTGCAGTGTCCAAATCTCTTTTGCAGTTGCATATAAGAGAAAGTTCTCTCCTATTTCATTCAGCTAGTTAATAAGCCAAGACGTTACCATATAGTTTTTGGTCTTCCGTTGTCCGAACTTGGGAGGAAAAATGATTTCTTCCTTAAGGTACTCGTCCTTTCCTTCCTTCAATGAACATTTCTTTTTTGAAATAACCTTTCCTACAAAAACATCATTATGGACGGGGACCATTGAAGATAATTCTATCTGTCGAGTTTGTGTCTGGTAATAAGAAGGGAAGAAGAGGTTTCCTTTCCTCCATAGCTACTCACAACTGGTGTAGCTTCTCTGCCTGGAGGTAACTTTGGAAGAGGAGATCTGTTTTTCAATGACCAAGTATGATGCCATATTTGGTCGCAGGATCATATTAGGTTTACAGGGATGGTTGCTCTGATACCATGAAGAAAACCTAGAGGGAAAGTTGAAGAAATAGAGGGGAAAATCTGGGTTGTTTTCTTCTTATTATTGAATGAAGAGTCTGAAGAGTATATAGTAAAAAGTCTAGCTAAAAATAGGCCCCAAGTTGTTCTAATTGGAGAAAAATCCTCCATTTAAAAAGGAAAAATAAAATCCCAGATTTGGAGAGAGACTGTCCCAGAAAATCTGGGATAACAACACTGGATTACCATGATCCTGAAGTTACTAACTTCTTAATGATTCTACTTGTGGTTTATGATCCCTGGAGCTAAGAAACTCAAAGCACTTGGGCACATACATACATCAATATAGGATTGACTTATATTTTTATTTAAATTTACGCAGTTTTCAATGTGTTGATAAAATATATCAGGGATGATAGTTTCATCGGCTAAACTTCTGCAGAGGAATATATCCATTAAGCTGTTCAATTGAAACTTACTTTTGATCAATAGTATATGATTCTACTCTGAAGCAGAGAATTTTATTGCCACTTTTCCATGCTTTTGGTCTCTCACAATCTTAGTACATGTTTGTTGTCCAGTTTGGCAGAAGCTTGAGGAAGAGAATCGGGAATTTTTTAATGCTTATTATCTAAGGCTAACTGTAAAGCACCAGATTATTGAATTCAACAAGCTGCTGGAACAGCAGGTGCGGCTGATGCATCAAATACATCCAGCTGGCGTTGCTGCAATGCCCACTTCTAATGGTTCTCACATCCAACCATGTAAGTCATTTTCATTTAATTGGGCTTGTTTAACATGACTAATCTCTTGGAGGATGCCTGTGATTAGCAGAATTTTTCTTGAAAACTTATTGTTTCCCATTAGAAACATCTAAAGAACAGGATAAGCTTATTGCATGCTTATTACTTGGGATTTTTGCGTACAGATTTTCTTTGATCTTCTCTTCCATTTATTTGTACATAATTACCAGAAGAAGAATGTTAGTATCCTAGGTAGTTCCCCACCAAATCCATGTAATTTTGCTGCTTTTCCTATCTGATAAGATTTGTCCAGTTGAAGCAACTGCTGGTGCTTGTTAGCTTGGGCTGGCCTCTTTGCAAATTTCTGGAAATCTCCATTTTTTTTTTCATTTGTGGTTAAATCATATCAATTTTCATCAGTGATGTGCATTTTATAAAGTATCATTGTAATAATAATTATCAATAATGCTGATAATAGTTGATTTTTTCTTTGGATCAGTTATTGTTTGAAAGATATTGCCAGGAAAACTAAAACACAGTTTAGTGAGCTGTAAAGATTAGCCAATTGGTAACTGAAATAGAGTTTATTCCATCTTTTATGCTTTTCCCCACTAAATTGACATCACTTTGATAGCCTGCAGTTGAGCCAGATAGTTTTGATGGTTTTATCTCCTGCTAGTTAGCCAATTCTTCTGAATGCAAGAATTTCTTCACATTTATTTGTAGTACTTTGTCCCAGCAACTTGCATTTAATTTTTAAGTGCTGTTTAATTTCCATCAAAATGGCAACTGACATCAATTTCTTTGTCAGCGCACCAGAACTCAGCATGTTATCCCCCAGAACACGCAGTTAAGCCAGAAAACATGCAACCGCCCATAGGTTCTAGTTTGGCCAATGCATTCCCCAATGGTGGGTCATCATTGCAAACAAATATGCATGCTGCTGTTGACATGTCTGGCCATGCTAGCAGGATTGATGTCCCAACTACCATACTTCCCACCCAGGGCTCAAACATAACTCTAACGCAAGGGATGAATGGAGGGGGGATAATCAAAGCAGAGACTGGTTATTCAGGTAGTTCTTACATGTTTTGTGCCGATGGCACTGTCCTGGATGCACGTCCATCGATTGGGGATACTTCGGGTGCATCTTTCAGTAGCGTAGAGTCCAACTCACAACCTCTCAATGATTCGCTTCTGGATGTAGATGGGGCTGCATATGGATTTTTAGGTCAGATTCCTCGGAACTTCAGTCTTTCTGATCTGACAGCTGGCGCCTTCTCCCAGACTTCAGGTTTCTCTCTTTTTCTATCCTTCCCCCCTATTGTATCTGTGCCTGTGCATGTAGTGATGCAGACCATGGAAGCTTTCCATCAAGACTTGGACTATGGCTTACCAGTTAATTCTGGAATAACCCATACTAATATGCACTTGACTACAGTTTTTTGTGTAGAAGTAATTAACTAAATTCAAAATGCTAGGTTCATTTATAATTGAATCTTCTCTCTCTTTCTCTCTCTCTCTCTCTCTCTCTCTCTCTCTTTCAGACATATTGGACTACCAGGGTTCACCTTTCCTAGCTACAGATACTGAAGGTTATCTTGATTCTCACGAGAGAGAGCGTCAAGGTTAGTCTTTCCTCTCCCTCCCCCCATAGAAAGTGGGAAGAAAATCAATTTTGTGATGTTTTTTCAGAAAGAGGTAATTGATTCAGCATTCTGGCCCTGTAGCAGATAATAAAAGGTTGGACACCATATCAGAAGGATTGAGTTATGATGATTTTGGGAGTGAATAGACATGGCAGTGAGGTTTTCTAGATTTTCACTATTAGGGCGTCTTGGTAAGTCAATGCTCTAGCTATTTATTGAGCAGTTTTGATCTATATTCTACAGTGTCAAGCTATACATGCAATATTTTAACATTTAGCATCTATTCCTATATTTAGTTACAGAACCTCATTGAATTCATTATACTGTTTGGTCTGAAAAAGAAAAGAAAATTTGGTTTTCTATCTTGCAAAGCAAAAATTTTAGATCTAGTTAAAAGGGAAGTTGAGTAGTTGCTTGTTCTGTGTAGCCGCCACTACAGAATTTGATCGAGAGTTGCTTCGAAACCCATTTAGCAGGTTTTTAGATTGAGTAACGATTTACATTTGTATTTTATCAATATGTTTTAACATATTTGTCTATTCTTGTTGAACTAAAGAATGCACAGGTTTGTCACAGTTCTTCAGGTTACAAGATGGAAAAATATTTAGGGACATTTATCAGAATAGCATCAGACATTATGATTATTGTGCCTGTCAACATACTTGCTAAATTAGTTTAGGAATGTTTTATCTTTTGACTCATGTATCTTTTTCTTTTTAGTAATTTCAAATTTAAATGTAGGAGTATGTAAGAGCTGTCGCTGGTTTTGGGAATATTTCTTCTTCTCTCTTTTGTTTTATGGTTTTAACTAAAATAAAAATAATTTTTCGTTGAACTGTATAGATAATGGAATATGTTTTATGATCCATGAAAACGGAATATATGTGTATGAACTTAATAGTTTAATTTATCATCCATGAAAATGGAGTATGCATATGTATAATCTATTCTACATATGCTTAAAACTGTAAATGGAAGATTGCAATCCTTGTCAGTATTAAGGGAATTATACTACTATATATATGTAGCTGGTCAAAGCAGTTATGACGTGTACCTTACATTTTTGTTTCTGCAGGTTCAGTTGTGCCCCTGAGCGCAGGGGTCTGTACATATCGTTTTAGTGCTGCAGTAGCTTCAGATTGTGGACTTATTAAATATCCCAATTGGTGTGTAAAAATTTCACCGATATCATGAAAAATGTGGTATGACAATTAGAATTGAGAATTGAGGTTAGGGTTGTCTAGATGAAAAGAAAACTTGAATAAATTTTTAGTAGGTACCGTTTTGTTTGACTCATGCAAGAGCATGGTGGCAACCCTGAGATGTTTACAGGAATAATCTTATAAGCAAATTATTTGGCACTTTTGGTGTTGATGAAGATGATTCTCTTGTGCTGTTGAGATTTCTGTCATTTGATAATTATTGATTTGCGGGTGTGGATTAATTCCAAGTCATCACATTTTATTCTGTCCATTTGTGGTGTAAATATTCTTCTTTCTTTTCTTAGGATTTAAAATATTACATATTACTCGAATTTTCAATTTTACAATAAAAATATTTCGTTATTTGAAATAAATATTCTTGACAATGGAGAAAACTTTATGGGCAATTAATTTACTAAATGTTTCAAGTTTAATTACTTGTGTTTGAATGAAAGTTTACACGTACTACAGAAAAGTTAGAGAAAAAAATCTCAAGATGGTATAGAGAGATATTTATCTTGTTGTAGGCTTGGCATACAAAAGTTGTGTAAGTTCTTGCTTAAAAAAAAAGCATCCAGGGCAGAGATCAAATTAAGACAAAAATTGCAGTGGGTAACAAGAGGGTAATAATTTTTGTTTGTATGTAATTTTTGTTGTAGAAAAAGACTCCTACGGTTTATGAAATGGACAAAGCCAGGGAGCCAATTCTTTTTTCATAAAAAGTGCCAGAGCGCTACTAAATAAATATATAGAATGATGTTTTGAAAATGCTAAAAGTTGTGGATTGTCTTAATAAAAGCCTAGAGAGGGGCAGGGCCAGTTTTTAGGGCATAGTCTAGATCAGCAATTAAGTCATTTACATCTTCAATACCCACAGATATACGAACAAGATCTTCTGTCAACCCTCTGGCCTCCCTCACTGCAGCTGGTATGCTTGCGTGTGACATGAAGCAAGGCATGCTTATCAGAGACTTCACACTCCCTGTTAACGGGGAAAAAGAAAAGAATTGTTTAACCATATATTGAGCAGACATACTCAGAGCTCACAGAAGCAACTTCTTTATCGGGTAAAAGAAAATTGCTGCATGCTTGGGGGGGAACGAAAATCAGTAAGTTTCAGAATTATCAGTTAAGTGGAGGAATCTATGATAAGTTGTATGCACGTCGCTTTCATAGAAAGTTTCTAATATTTTATAGTAATCTAGTAACTTTATGTAGTAACTACTTAATATTTTGTGATAAATCGTATTAAAAAAAGTGTATCATATCATAATATTTCACTAACTCTGCATAGTGATTGATTTAATATTGTTATGTAATCAGTTACTTGCAAAATGTTCCAAGTGATTGTTAAACAAAATTATTGGATTATTATGAAATAAAAAAAAGTTAACTTGAAAGTATGGTGCCTTTAGGGGGAAATCAAGATTGTAGAAACATTGGTATAAAGGTTCAGGTAGGAGGGATTATACTTACCGAAACTGACGGTAATGCTAAAATACTTGGTAGTTTCAACTACGTGCTTCGAAAGTTCCAGTGATCCAGTCAAAAAGCTAAGCACTGAGCCTGCACCTTTTGCCTACAAGGGTACAAGCACACAACATTCAATGTAAGCATTTCCAGAAATTTGGAATCAAGTAACCCTAGTGCCACTATCAGTACCTGAGAATAGTGCAAAGAATGCCCAGGATGTCCAGGAAGACCAGCATAGTTAACTTTCTTGACTCGTGGATGGGAAGAAAGGAACTCGGCAATCTTCTGCGCATTTTGCTGAAGAAAGATGCAAGAGGATCAGTTTTTAAATTTGAACTTTTCAGCAGTTATAGGCAGAAGACGAGGAAGGTGATGACACAAAATCATGGAACTGTTCAATCTTTGCCAAAGCAAATAATTAAATTAAAAACTAGCAGGTAAAACTTTTTTCTCAAGAACAAGTTAGAAAATGTTACAGTTTATTGCTTTTTGTGGAGCCTATTCATATGATACCTAATCATATGGTATATAAGCTAAGTAATTCTGTGATACCTAATCATATGGTATATAAGCTAAGTAATTCTGTGATACCAGTGGGAATCAGACTCTCTCCGATTGAACTAGGACCATTTGTAGCCTCTGTTATAAATAATTGTGTTGTATTCTCATTAAATAATACGTCCCCACATATATAAGTTCTCGGGATAAGCAACTAATTACAAAATGGAGTAATTTTAGCTTATACCTTTTAACCTAGTTTAACCTTATTATAACTTTTAACCTAGTTTAACCTTATTTATACATATAGTACATTCTTTAACAGCCTTAATGAGCAACATTAATCTCATTAATGAGACAGAATGTAGAAACTTAAATACAAAAGGTGGAATAAAACAAGAGTTATATCAGATAGATGATAGCTGATATAACATACAAAAAAAATTCATTATTGAAAATGCAGAGCATACTATATGAAACAATTGATTTGCAAATTACAGACAGGAAAACATGGTACCGACTTCTTACAACATAGATGATAGGCCTAGGCTATTGTGTGAACGGGTGCATGTAATTTGTCATCAGGTTTTCTGTGCTGGTTTATCGATTAATAGTCTTATAAGCTCGTATAAGATAAAATAAACAAAAATAAATCATATAAGTGAATAGAAAACAGAATAAAGCACAGGGAGTTGAAACAAGACCTGTTGCTTTTCGACACGCAAGGCCATGGTCTTGATGCCTCGGAAACAGAGCCAACAGTCAAATGGAGCTAATCCAGAACCTTCTGCATTTTGTAGGAAATACAAGTCTTTTGCCAAGCTGGATAATGGTAAACAAAAAAAGAAAAATTATTGCTTCAGGAATGAGTTATCTAACTGAAAGTTCGTGAAAAATTAATTATGCAGCTGAACATGGTGGAAGTTCAATAATCACAGCCAAAGCAAATTAATCAAAGTAAAAATTCATTAAAAGAGGGATGCATGCAGAAGAACATACTATAGATCAAAGCAAAATTGTCAGCCAAGAATGCTTGGCAATTCTAAACGATGCCTTTTCTTTTAATTTAAGCAAATGAAAATTGTTTCCACAGCTCGATATTTTTGGGTGAAAGTATTCTTCAGATGATCTGGAGCACCTAAAATTAAACATTCAAATATGAAGTATTCATCAATATTGTGATGTGTTTTCGTTTTTGTGTTTCAGAGTATATACTGGTGGTATTTAGGTTATGATAGTAAAATAATTCTGCAATTAGTAGATGGGTGCATGTGCACTATTACATGCATTGTATGTGTTTATGTGATGTATTATGTATGGATTTCTTAAATAGATGTAGGGATTGATATGTGTTTTTTGTGTTTATGTTTTGTATTATGTATGAATTTCCAAAACATATGTAGAGACTTCAGTGAGTATAATCTGGTATTTTTATTAAGTAGGACAAATGTTAGTTGGAGAAAAATAAATAGAAAACAGACGGGAAGTTGGCTGTCTGGAATTAACTTCCAGATAACTGCTTCTTCATGATGTAAAAACACCCTATGCTGTTGTGGTTCAGTCTCCCCTTTTAAGATAATGTGTTTACCTAGTTGATTTTTTTTTTTGAAATAACAAAAACTAAAACTGTGGCTACTGACATTCGAGCTCAGGTCCCTATGGCCATGACGTACGTAGAATGTGTTTACCTAGTTAATTTAATGTGATAACGCCGAAGTAATGAAAAACAAAATAACAGGGAAAGACTTTCAAAAATAAGTATTAGAAAATGTATAGGGCAAGGGCATTGACCTTTCCCCTTTTACTGCAAGGACACCTGCCATAAGATCACTATGGCCAGATATAAATTTAGTAGCTGAATGCATCACAATATCTGAAAAGACATAAAAAGATAAATTAATAAACAAAATGAAAGAAACAATTTTCAGGAATAGATTGCATTCAATATGAAACCAAGATTACATAAATCTTGTATAATTTGTACCTGCTCCAAGCTCTAATGGCTGCGACAAGACCGGAGACATAATACTGTTATCCACCAAGAGAAGAGCATCATGAGCATGAGCCAGTTCTGCAATTTTCTGGAATGAAGACAAAATTGAAAAGTAGCCAGCCATTAGAAAGAGCACACAACTTGGTGAGTTGAAAATAAAGCAACGGGAAACCTAAATAATTACATCATCAATATTAGTGTTCCCCTTACACAAAGCAACACCATTTTGTGTTAGCAAGGAAAACAACTAAAGTAATGCATGGTTATAAGGAGAGGATAAACAATTAATTCACATACAAACAGGATAAAAAAAGTAACAAAAAGAATGGTACCCATACTGATAATAAGAGATTAAGTTTTGGCTATGAAAAATTAGGCAATTCCTTCTCATGAAGCACTAATTCAAGCATGTTGACATCAGTTAGCAACAAGTGATACTGTTAAATGTTTCTACCTACTGATTATACCAGCAAACATGCCTACAGGAAAAAAAGTGCCAGCAGCTAAAAACACCTAGAGCACTATTAAACAAAAAATACAAAACCATTATCACTAAATGGCAAAAAATGAAAAACTTTACAAGAATATCAGAAATTTGTTGTCTAGGGTTGGTTGGACTCTCCAGCCACACAAGCTTTGTCCAAGGACCAATTGCAGATGCAACCTCGTCTAGATCACTCATATTCACTCGTCTGCAAACATCAAGCAACATCATATCAAGTACCAATAGCAGCAGAACCATTACATAAAAGATAAGGATAAGAGCCACTAACTTCACCACAATTCCTGCTTTTGGAGCTACTTGTGATAACAGTCTATCGGAACCACCATAAAGATCATCTCCAGCTACAATTTCCTCACCTGAAGCAGCATTTTTAGAAAAAAAAAATAATGATTCGGATGAAATATTCTGAAAAAAATTACTAGCACTGTTAAAAATGAAATATTAACAATTATTAAAAATGTGGTACTTCTTTGATCATCATAGTTTTTCTTTCCTCTTTGTAACAATCCAAAGAAACCAGATTTATATCACAGATATAATTTCTCCAGGTATAAGAAGAGTAATGCTGAAAGATATACAAAACTTAATAATTCCCTTCATTTATTAGTTTCTTGGAACTCTGAATTTGTGGAAGAAGAACCACAATAATGAGAAAGAAGGCTTTACAAATTTTCGTATACAATCTTGTTCATGCGATGAAGCATGTATCACAATTCTATTTTATAGTTTTTCAAGTTTTGACCATGGACAGATAGCCCCATGAAAGAATATATTCAGTTACAAATTTTCAAGCATCAAAACACATGTAACAACTGAAATTAACTCAATTAAATAATTACGAAAATGAGAAGTGCCAGTTCCAACAAGATGAGCAATAACTGCCAAAGGAAAATCTATTTTTACAGGCTTTCAAGTTTTGACTATGGACGGTAGTGCTATGAAAGAATATATCCAGTTACATATTTTCAGGCACACATTCACAAAACATATGTAACAGCTGAAACTAACTCAATTAAATAATTATGAACATGAGAAGCACCGGTTCCAATAAGACGAGTAACAGCAGCCAAAGCAGCCATTCCACTAGTGAAGCACAAGGCTCGATCTGCCTTTTCAAGCTTTGCCATGAGACTAGAAAACAAGAACACAAAAAAAAAAAAACAAAGATCAGAAAGAACAAGTTGCTAAGTGAGTAAAGAAAGTATCTGCATTCCAGTATTGACAAATTACTTCAACTGAAAGCAATATGTGAATAAGCAGAAATAAACACCTTTCCAGAGCAGTCCGTGTAGGATTTCCACTTCTAGTATAATCATATGGCCCATTTTCTAAAGCTGAAGGCTGCAAGATGTATAAAAGACAATATGATGTGGAAGTAGAAAATTGAGAAAACAAAACCATGCAAGCAAAAAGGCATGAAACACATTAAAAAGTGCAGCATTCAAGAAGATCTTAAATCAATGTTGAACTCAAGGCTGCATCTTTATAGAATGAAACGCAATCTTTTATGGGTCAAAAGCTCAATGCATCTAGTTTTTTCTACACTTATAACCATCCATGGATTAGATTCATTTAGGAGTTATTAGTCAATGTTTAAGAGTTTCCCTACAGTTTGTTATTGCAATTCCTCAAAGGTGGTTCCATATGCTTAGTTGATGTGCCAAACCAGTTTTTGAAATCTCAGTTTTGACATTTATACATCAGATGGAAAAGTCTTCTTTTTGAGATAAACTATAATCTCTGGGGTACTTCCAAATATGAACTGTATATCAGAACTTGGACATAGTAAATTTATCCGAAAGTCTAAATCTGATCTAACAAAATCACGGTAAAGAACTCGATTTAATTCTATACTTAAGCTAAGCTCTTTTGTAATCCTAAACAACTTCAACAATAAAAACAAATAATTGATGAAACTCACAGAAAGCAGAAAACCTACCTGTTTAAATGTTGCTGTTTGGTAAAGGGGTAGACTCATTGCCTCATAGGGATCAAACTTACTTTCAAAATTCATCAATAATGTTGAGATGCTAGGTTCATTGACATCCAATTCTGAAAAATACGAAGTTAAGTCAACAACAAGAACCACTGACTTAACCATGTATTAAAACGCTTTTTTTTTACTAAAAGGACCATACAAACCACTTAAGCAATCTGCTACTCCATCAACCAAAGCTGAAGTGCTCACATCCATATCTCTTTCTTTCATACAATTCAACTTGAACTTCGTCGCTAACAAAAGTTGCTTCCTCTCCAAAAAATTCGGTTCCTTCTTAAACCCCAGACCAGTCAAACAATTCTTAGGCAAGGAGCCCTACAGGAACACAACAAAGAATCAGAATCATGAACTAATAAAGGCTAGTTACATTTAGATGTAGCAAGTAAATTTCCTAGTCTTTTGGGGTTATTTTTTTTCAAATGAAAACAAATTAAAAAAAAAAAAAAAGAGATTTATTAAACCAAAAACGAGTTGCTTCTATAAGAAAAATCATATTCTAATATTCCAATTCCTAAAACATTCAAAATGTGCCTTACACCAACATAGAAATTTCAAAAACATTGTCCAACAATTAAGAAAAACCCTTATGTTCCTCCATTTTCGTCTATCCGTTTGCTGTCGCCTCAAAATAAATAAATTTTTACACGAAAAAGAATACAAGTTTTGCCGTCCTACGGGCATAAGCTAACCGTTCAAAATTACATTAATTCTTTCTCCTTTTTCCTTGTGCTACCACGCATATCTCGGGAGCCAAACATAATTAGAATAGAAGGCTTACACGATCGGAGAGATCAAGCCGAGGAGAGGCAAAGGCAGGTCGCAGGGAAAGAGAAGAGACCATTGTTGAACCCGAAGTTAGGGTTTCGAGTAGAGATTTCTGGCAAAGCAGCAAGAGAATAGTGTCTGAAATATAATGATCGCCATTTCAGAGAATCTGAGAGGTCATTTTATTTGCGATCGACATGAAAGGTACTGTTAGTTGCCATTGGTTCTAAAATTCGTATTGGCTGCTAGATTTTCTCAATCAAAATTCAAAACCGTTCTGACTATTTCATTTCACACACGTGCGAAGTTGGATGTGTAAATTTTACACTCAAATTATTTTATTTTTTAAAACAAAAAATATCATTTAATTATGATTTGTAGAGAGTTTTTTTTTATATAATTTAATCATTATTTTAATATTTGGTATTAATTTAATTTTCTATTTCTAAAAATAATAAATTTAACTCATTTATATTTGTGGCATTTAATATAACGACCTCGAAAATTTAAATGAAATATATGTATTAAAAATATCAAATGCGGAAGCGTAATAAAAATTTTGATTAACATATCTTACACAATAATTAAAACGTACTTAAAATATGAAAGAACAAACTAACTAAAAGAGATACTCGAGATAAAAACTATAAATATAGCTATGGAGTCTTTAGGGGTCCCCTTCGCCGTCTTCCTGCGGAACGGGCTCGGAAACAATGTCTTCCTGATCTGAAATGGTTAAATAAGGAATGAGCTACACCAGCCCAGTAAAGACATCACACTATCTCACTGCCACGGAAGTAAAGGTGGGTAGAAAACAAAAATGACCAATGGAGCATAATTTATAACAAATTCATTTATCAATAATAAAATCCTTTACTATCCACTTACCTCGGCGAGATCCATGAAAACACATATGAAAACAATAACCTTATAATATTATGAAATCATACACACTTTATAACATAACATATATCACACCTTTACATTTCAATCATCAGGAAACAGATTTCATCTTTTACCAGCTTACTAGTATCCCTGGGGATCCATATGGGGTCCCCTCTACACGTGAACCGTTAACATTTACAACCTAATTCCAGAGCCGTTCCCATACTCCGTCCGGTATGGGCGCTAAAACCATGAACCTCAATACCCCGTCCGGTATGAGGGTGAAATAGGCCGTCCCCATACCCTATCCGGTATGGGCGCCAAAACACATAAGGTCTCCATACCCCGTCCGGTATGAGAGACCACGTTCCCAGTAGGGTTCCCTACGGATCTGGTACGTCCACCATCTCCTAGGATATCTAGTCAGACTGTCCATATTATCCACTTATCAATTCACATAACCTTTCTGCATTTTTCCTTAATCTCAATCATCCAATCATACAAAACATGTAAACTAGTGATTGACACCAAATAAGACAATACAGTACCGGGTTCACCATAATACAAACTATAATAAAAGAAACCATAGTTCATGCATACGAGACCATAACATAATTACATCAAACATCAATGCTGCATTTAATACTGGAAATTAAATCAAACAATAACATACCAACACTGTATTAGACTCGGGCTCCATTGGCAACCTTAATCAATTATACATCTATAAAGTCACACAGTACAGTTTAATTATTTATTTAGCTTTAATACCACGATAGGAAATAGGATGAGGGGTCCTTACTTATTTCGGGGTATGAATTCGACTCTACAGTGTGCCTACAGCCTATCCCTAATTTCCCTGAATTTTTTCCAAAAACTGAAACGCACTACCGGTACCTGCACGTGTCCCAACAAAATTCCAAATCAAGCCTAGGCCCCTTTTGGCCAATATCGAAATTCCAGCACGGCGGCTCCGCCGTGCTCCGGCGACGGCGCTGCCGCTTGCGGCAGCGATTCACCTCGTGTTGGCCGTTTTCGGCCACACTTGCATCGGTCCCTGTGATAAAACAACCCTAGGACCCTCGGTGGGCCAAAAAATCACGAAAAACCGAAACTTACCGGCAGCGGTGCTATCGGATGCGACGGCTCATCCGACATGAGTCGCGTTTTGATGTTTGGCTCCGATCAACCTGTAGAGAAAAGAACGGTGATTACAGTGGTATAAAATTTGTATCGAACAGAGGCCGGGAAGGGCTTCATTGGAGGTAAAAATCGAGGAGGGGCGCGGCGGCGCCGCTGGGCTTCGACTGGGTTTTCCGGCCATTTGGTCGGTGGTTTGGCTCCGGTTTGGCCATAGGCGGACTCAGCATCGAAAAACGAGTAATGGAGAGAAAATTTACCTCGATTGGCGGTCGAAAACTTTCCCGGTGCGGCGGCGGGTGGCGGTAGCCGGCTCCTCCGGCATCTGGTTCTTCTTCTCCGGTGAGGCACTGGCGGCTAGGGTTTTTGTGGTCAGGTGTGGGTGGGGTTATTTATACCTTTTGCCTTTTAATCTCAACCGTCCATCAAGATTAAATTTGGGCCGTTTGATCGCGATTTAATTGGGATTAAATCTGGACCGTCCATCGCGATGCAATCTGGACCGTCCATGCCTGATTGAATATGGGCCGTCCGTGCGCGTAAATCTGGGCTGTCCTTGTACACGTTTGATTTAGGCCGTTCGTGCGCGCGAGAACGGATCTGGGCCGTCCGATCGCGCGCACGGCGATCCGTCTACGTGGCCCGTTCCCTGGTCAGCGTTGCCTTGCCACGCGGCGGGTCCTGGTTGGCCTGGGCCGCTGACTAGGCCGCTGACGTGGCACAATTTTTCTGAATTGCGTTTTGACCCTCCGGTTTCTGATTTTCTTTTCAAAAACACCTCCAGAATCCAAATTTTTACCCATTTTTCCCAAAATCAATTTCAATTAAATCCAAATAATATTTTTACCCAATTTTATCATTATTATTATTTTTATTTTTATTAAATTAAATTAAATTAAATAAAAATAAAAATAATAAAATAAAATTTTATTTTACTTAGGTGTTACATTTAACACAGTTACCATATTGTTTAATTTTAGTAACAAAATAAGCTAGTTCGAATATTATTTGAAAATATAAAAATTAAACTAACCCAAAATTATAATGAAGATTAAGTAAAATAAAAAAATAATAATATAAAGATTAAACTAATATTTTAGCTTTTTTTTTAAAAAAATTGTTAAAAAACACAAATAAAAAATAAGAAATCTGTAAGATTATCATTGAGAAAACATTACCTAATATTAAAATTACCTAAAATATGGGAAAAGTTAAAAAAATATTTTGTAGTTTAATTTTTACTTATGAAAATATGAGCATTTTATTTTAAAAATATATCAAATTACACTGTATTAAACAATAAGGGTAAAACTTAGCAGAATTTAAATGGTATTTTTGTGATTGTATTATTTTCAATTGATTATATAACTTTTGTTAATTCAAATTTTTATAGTCTTAAAAATCAAATGTAATATTAGGGAGACATAATTTATGAAATATATAAGACGGTGAATAATTGTTAATTATTGAATTTTTAATTTTTGTTAAAAATAAAAAAATATATAAAAAAGTAATTAAAAAACGAAAATAAGTTAATAAAAATACAGAAAAATATTAATAGTCGAAAGTCTGCTAGTCCGAGCTCGAGTCCAAGCCCACCAGATTCTAAAGCCCTAATTGACCTGTCATCTTCCTCTCTCTCTTTTATATTCTTCCGTGCAGATAGAAGTTCACAATATTTCTTCGACAATGGCAGAGACGGAAGTGAATATGAAAAAGAAGGGAAAGCACGATAAGCCAAAACCATGGGACGACGACCCGAATATCGACCATTGGAAGATCGAAAAATTCGAGCCTTCGTGGAACGGAGGCGGCATGCTGGATGTCAGCTCCTTCTCTACTCTATTTCCTCAGTACAGAGAAAAATACTTGCAAGAAGCTTGGCCAATGGTCAAATCTGCTCTTAAAGAGTTCGGCATTTCATGTGAACTCAATTTGGTACGTATTTGTCTTTCTTTTTGGTTCCGAGAATGATTTGTTTCCAGAATTTTCTTTTGTTTTTTTTTTCCTTCTCTTTCGCGTTATTTTTGTGATTATTTTTTCTTTGTGCTCAGGTTGAGGGTTCAATGACTGTTTCGACTACTAGAAAGACTAGAGACCCTTACATTATTATCAAAGCTAGGGACCTCATCAAGCTTTTGTCGAGAAGTGTTCCGGCACCTCAGGTACAATTATTGTTTAACATTGGATTAGGGATGAAAAGTAGTCTAGATAAGTAACTTGCTGCTGGAGTTCTGTTTGCTTGAAAACTCTAGAGCTCGAACTTGACTCAACAACTTCCTTGGAGTTCTGTTTTCTTGAATGCAATGTAAGTGAATGAAATATCAGCGAACTCAGATTGACTGTGACTCAATAAATTCAAAATTAGATTGAAATTGAGCAGAATATTAAATATGATTGGGCTTGATTACAAAAGAGCTCACATAGGCATGAAGTCAAGCAGGACATTTAAACAATATGTATATTTATTTACATTATTGGAAAAACTAGTTATCTATATACCTATCAAGTTATTATATATTTGGTTAGTTCGTGTTGGTAATACAAATAGCCTAAAAAGAGGCTTGAGCTTGTCTTAAGGATTTGGTCAAACTGAGCTCCTGTCCAGCTTTGGCAAAAAACAAGGTCATCTAGATGATATATTGAATTCTTGAAACGAGGTTATCTGAATGTCTTTTGCGAAGGTTCTTTTGTCTCCAGTTTGGGTTTATTCGTTTTAGATTATATTGCTTAATGAGTTAATATTCCAATTTGGTAGGCAATCAAAATTTTGAATGACGAATTGCAATGTGATATTATCAAGATTGGAAACTTGGTTCACAATAAGGTGCGTGTGCTCTTATCACTTCACATCATTGGTACTATTGTTGTAATTTTTGAGAAGTTGATTGGTAGTGCATATTTCTTGTTATGGGTATACAGTTTCTTAACTTGAATTCAGGTTTGAAAAGTAAATATTTGAGAATAACAAATATGATGAATGTGATCAGGAAGAAAAAAATTTTAAATTACTTTGCATGGACTGTGGACTTGAAAAGGATCAAACTTCATATAGTTCATTCATTCTCTATCAAAAAAATTATGATTGCCATAGATACATCTTTTGTTATATGCTTTGTGCTCTTGTTTCCAGGAACGCTTTATTAAAAGAAGACAGCATCTCGTGGGCCCAAATTCTTCTACTTTGAAGGTTTGCACAACTTCTTAGTGTGAATGTTATTGTGAAAAGAAAATAGTGCTGGAGATGTATAAGCATAATTGTTGTGAAACTATTAATTCTGACTCTTTCGAAGGATTTTTATGTTATAGCTCTATACCATAGACATGCACAAACACTAGTTTCAGGTCTAGTTTACCTGAATACCCTTCCTTTGGGGGATATCAGCAGAAAAATCACCTGTGTATGACTCTTCTTGCCTACAGTTTGATGTATGTAACTAAGTCTTTTTCGAGTATGTAGTGTAAATTAATAGAATGATGCCATTTTGCTTTTTGACACATTTGATTGGAAAATATTAGGCCAACTGCAGATGGTCAAGTACTCGGATCATCATACAGGGTCCATGTGTGTTTTTTCTGAAGTTTGTATGGGATTCATTGCACTGCAGACCTAAAAATACATCCGATTTAGATGAAACGTGGCAGAAGCTGCAACATAACCATAGAGCTATTCAATCATATAACATGAAATTCTGATAGTAGTTTGGACTATTCACTCATATGTAGCACTTTGATATGTCTAGCTCTGCTTTAGAATAGTTGCATAGGTGGGCGGTTGTAATTTTATAATTTTAGAAGGGTATATTTAATTCTTCATCTTACAAAAAAAAAACAAAAGTAATGAAAAGGTATATGAATAGTGTTTTCGTTAAATATCGCAAAAAAAAAGCATAGCGCCCTTTTTTTTTCATACAGTACACTTCCTGAATGTTCCTCCAAGAAAGTCTAACTTCCCATGTGCTCTGGTATTGTCCACATACGAGTTTGAACACAAACTAAGATGCGAGGCAGGTCTTTTCAATTGTCTAATATGTTGCCTTTTGATGCATTTGTCTTATAAATCATACATTTCCTTATTTCAAAAAAAATAAATCATACATTTCCTAGTTGCCTTTTTCTTCAAGTTGCTTTTTTATCACTTTGCTTTAATCTTTTTTTGCTGCAGGCACTTGAGATATTAACAGGCTGCTACATTCTTGTTCAGGTAATCTGTAATTTTGGTGGTTGAATGTTGAATCTCCTCTTAAGAAAGATGTCCACGTCATTTTTTTTCATTTTTGTTTTTATTGACAGGGAAATACAGTAGCAGCTATGGGGTCATATAAAGGTCTCAAGCAAGTTAGGAGAATTGTGGAAGATTGCATACAGAATAAAATGCATCCTGTTTACCATATCAAGGTTCAGAGCATATCTGTTTCTGGCATAATCTGAGAAACACTCATGGAAGGATGCTTTTTCAAACATTTCTATGGCTCTATGATTCCCATCTCACCCATCTTTTTTCTATTTTTTTTTCAGATTCTTATGATGAAAAAAGAACTTGAGAAGGATCCTGCACTTGCAAATGAAAATTGGGACAGATTTCTCCCGAAGTTTAAGAAGTAAGAGATCTGTCCATTGCTCTTGAATTTTCTTTACTTTTGACTTTATTGACATGAATGATTTTTCCAGGAAAAATGTGAAACAAAAGAAGGCTAAGGTTAAGGAGAAGAAGCCATATACTCCTTTCCCTCCACAACCTCAACCTAGTAAGGTGAGATGATTGTTTGTCTGATGATGATCTTCAGTGCTTTGATCTCTCTCTAAATTGAAATCTAACGCAAGATCCATCTGATCTTTTTCTATGATGTTCAATTCCTTAATTCTATTGCATTTCCTTTTCACATCAGATCAAAAAATATATCCTTTGTTAGGTTCTTTCTGGGTGAACTATTTTTACATTGAACTACTTTACATGTTAGAATATGACCTTGAGTAGTTGCTTCGACTTTCTTTCTTTCTTTTTTCGAAAAAAATATCTTAAATGGGCGTTGTCTCATGAAGTATGATGCCAATTTCCTTCTTAATTTTGTATTGTGGAATTAGACAAGACTCATGATTCCTTCACTTGAATTCTTGGATGTGCTCATTTTATTTCTCATCACAGTTATGATGAAAAATTGTTTAAAAACTGTATTATAACATTTGCAGATTGATTTACAACTGGAGTCTGGAGAATACTTCTTAAGTGAGAAAAAGAAGTCCGCCAAAAAATGGCAAGAGAAGCAGGAGAAGCAGGCTGAGAAAACTGCTGAAAACAAAAGAAAAAGAGAAGCTGCATTTGTTCCTCCCAAGGTTATATGCCCAAGCTCATCTCTTATTAGTTCTTTCTGTTGACAACTCCAGTCTTTTTTAATGGCTTCTCTATGCGTGATCAATGTTCTTCTTAACATTTTATTTTCCATCACAGGAACCCGTAAAGCAGGATTCTAATAAATCTGAGGGAGACAAGGAAGATGTGGCTGAGCTGGCCATCTCCTTGAAGGTAATTGTTGCAGTAAGCTATTGGCTTCATTTTCTTATTGCTTAGGGTAGTTAACATATTTGTCTTTTCTGTTCAGTTTCTTAACAGACATTAAACGTAGTTAATATGCTGTCATGCGTCATAACAAAATATTTTATTTGAAAAACACAAAACGGAGTCAAATTTTTTTTTTTTCATTCCTCCCAAGTTATGGAAGAAGGAAATAATTTGAAAATTTTAAAAAATCAATAATCTTATTGATTACTTTTCATGACTAATTATTTATTTCTTACAAATTGAATTAAATAAAATATTGTAATACCTTTTACATTTTTTTTAAAAAAATTTATGGTTTCCAATTGTCTTCTAATGTTGTAACTCAAAAAATTTCTTTTACAGAAAAAGTCCAAGGAGTTTAAGAAGCAAAAGTCTGCAGAGAGCATTGATCCAGAAGCCTATATTGCCAAATCTGGGGATCAACCTTCAAGAAAGAAATCGAAGCGCACATGAGTCCATCTACAATGGAGGATTCATGGTTTTAGAGGTCGCTGAATTTGATTAGGTTGAAGGATTATTACTGAAATGAACAGAAGGTTATGCGTGCTTCATGGTTAACAATACAAACAATTAATTTAAGAAACCTCCATGTAACGAGAAGCCTGATCATCCAAAGAAACATTAAAGGAGTAATACAAAATTTACTGAGCTCATGCTGTTAATTCTCAAATTATGCAGACCTTTTCCTCTCGCCCATTGGTGTACTAGATTTTTGCAAACTCTCTGTAGTTACATATGTTGGTCTTACAGATTGTATGACGAAGATAATACAGACTGAATGGATACTGCTGCTCAATATGAACTTGCTTATCAATCAAGCCTCATTATGAATCCTCCTTTCTCGCTTTCCCTCCTACAGCTCCTCATTTTCTTGCCCCTCTTCGATGATTTGGTAACAAATTTTTTTTCTTCAATGTAGAGGACAAAAAAAAAGCCTCCCACTTCTTTCCTCTTTCCCCTTGAAAAGTAGAGGGAATAAATTAATTGCACATGTAACTAAGAAAACTCACACATCAATCTCACACTGGAGTAAATAATACAAGTAGACTACATCCAGAAGAAAACCTTAAATTTTAAACCCCAAAAGATGACTAATTTCAACCAAGTTGTAAATACATTGTGTACTCATGGTAGGTAGCAAATAATCCATGACCTTATATCTCATCCTCCTCAAAAGGATCTCGCTCGGGATAATCACCAACCTGAAAGTGCCATGCAAAATCAGTGAAATGGTCAAGTAGTACAATATGCAAAGGCTTCATGGAAAACTTGTTTTAGACCAGCCCCTTAAGAGGTTGGTCTTTTCACTCTCATTGATTAGTCTACCAACCCTTGGATCATGGAATGCTCCTTTTTAGTTTGCATAATGTTCTTTGACATCTCTTTCAAATGCAATAAGAAGTTCAATGTTACTTTTTGCACCTCACCACTCATTTGATTCAATTTACATTCCATTCCCCGCTAATTCTCACTAAATCTTCATAATTGTGCCTTGATGTGTACAATACAATTTATTTTTTAAAAAAAGATTTATACAATTACAACATAACTTTTTTTATTCTACTTATCAGCACTCACATTCTCTGGAGGTGGAGTAAGCAGAAAAAATTTATGTTGTGAATCAAATATAAGACTACCAGGAAAACTGATGATGCAACTAGCTAGATATATGAACCAATTTTCACCTTAGAGTAAAATGTATACGCAATGACTTGTCTTAACTGAAGTTTGAACCTCAAGATTTTATGAGCTAATATGGTAAAATTAACGAGAATACTTAGAGGCTGAGAGTTTGACTTCAGTAGGCTACTTTATAAAAGATTTACACATGGAAGCAAGGGAAAGAAAGGCTAATTAATCTCCTGCATCTGTGGATAATTTATTTACCTTATCTGTTTTTTTTTTTTTTAGATGAAAAGAATGTATATTAAGTATAGACACTAGAAGGGTGTCGCCGAGAGTTTGACTTCAGTAGGCTACTTTATAAAAGATTTACACATTGAAGCAAGGGAAAGGAAGGCTAATTAATCTCCTGCACCTGTGGATAATTTGTTTACCTTATCTGTTTTTTTTTTTGAGATGAAAAGAATGTATATTAAGTATAGACACTAAAAAGGTGTCGCCGAGAGTTTGACTTCAATAGGCTACTTTGTAAAAGATTTACACATGGAAGCAAGGGAAAGGAAGGTTAATTAATCTCCTGCACCTGTGGATAATTTGTTTACCTTATCAGTTTTTTTTTTTTTTGAGATGAAAAAAATATATATTAAGTATAGACATTAAAAGGACGTCGTCTCTATACAAAATATTCACAAATCAGTTAAAATATAAAAACCTTCCAAGAATCATCTCACCCGAATAAATCATGTCCAGAATAAGAGAGCCAAAAGTATCTATCCACCTATATCTAATTCTGCCCAAATTCCCCATACACCCATCAAACACTTTGTTGTTTCTCTTTTTCTCTTTTTCCACACCACCAACAAAATAGTTAAAGGTTTTACAAGTTTCGATTTCTTGCAAATCCCACCCCAAGCCAAAGTTTATCCTTAAGCGTGCCCGCAATCGCCCAAGTAATACCCAATAAATCGTAAACCATACACCAAATACTACATGTCACTGCAGTCACCCAATTGCCTTATTTGTAATTTCTTTCTCTTTGTATGCGAGAATTGATCTCTTCACTTACTTGGAGTTGTCCATTTCTTAGAGTTAGTTTTATGTTTTTGTTTGGTCTTTAAAAGTTGTCAATAAGAATATAAGCACTACTGTTATGTGATATTAAGTGTCTTAATTTTTTGAATAAACAATTATAAATATCTAGTAGTATATATATGTACTTAGTATAAATCAAGTATGTAATTAGTAGACAGATTTATGTGGCTGTGGGATTGCATTTTATTTGTATTTTTCTTGGTTGTTGGTTTGTGGTATAGGAGATTAGTAAGAGAGAACATAGGGGGGAAGCAGATGCAATGGGCAATTCTAGAATTAGCTTCCAGATAACTGCTCCTTCTGCAGATAAAGGTTCAGTTTTTATGCATAAAATTTATCAGAAGGTTCTTGAGTTTATGAGTTCTTTCAAACAAGCTCATACATGTAGTTCAAAATAAGTCAAGGAAGACAAATACAAAAACAACCTTTGGTACCTTCTGGTTTTCGGGTTAATCATCCCATAACATGATCCATAAGCCGAAACCATAATAATTTGGTACCAGAGCCAGAAGTTATGGGAGATTTGCAATCTATGTTTGGATCTTTTCTCAAAACTTACAAGAAAGATTGTGAAAATGATCCACCTTAGGCATCACCTGATTGTACTTGAGGATATGCACGCAGTCTTCAGAAGGTAAATAATGTTATGAGATAATAAGTATTTTTGGTTCTTAGAATAATTAATTATAAATATCTTTTTAAGGAAATTAACCATAAATATCTTAGTAGTACATATATATATGTAATATATATGTATTTAATATGAATTAATTATGTAATTAGGAGAGAGGTTTATGTGACTTGCATTTTATTTGTATTTTTATTGATTGTTGGTTTTGTAGTGAGGGAAGTTACTAGGAGAGAGAATAGGGGAAAGAAGATGTAGTAGGCAGTTCTGGAATTAATTTCCAAATAACTGCGCCCTCTGCAGATTTAAAAATCTCTGATATCTTTGAAAATGTATCAAATTTTTTTTGAGTACTTTAGCTCTAGACTAAAATCTCTATTATACTTAGATTAAATAGATAAAGGAAGAATATAAAAACAAACTTTGATACCTACTGATTGACGGGTCAATCATCCCATAATGAGATATGAAAATCGCGGCTGTAACAACTATCAACACATTTCAACAGTAAAGCATCACTAGTAGGACACACACACCTTTACTTTGTCAGGCCTGACCATTGCACCATGAAGTGAGGGGCACTGGAAGTACCGTGTTCCTTTCACCCTGCAGCATGAAACAGAAAAGCTGTAACAAATGAAAGCGCAGTTTATGCAAATCGATAAAGATTCAAATTACAATGTCTTGCATGAGCAACCAATACATGCCACCATATTTAAGTCAAATTCGTTTTTCTAGTTACAAATTTTTTAAGTAATATATCTAGTGAACTTGATTATATCGCTCATCTTTTGTCCTCAACTTCTTTCATGATTATGGATATTAGTTAAACCGGCATTCCAACAGAAAATCCTCTCATCACTTTAAGCTATGTTCCATCCTTTCCAAAAGTAGCTGTCTTACATTACATCGTCTTATGTTTGTCCCAAAACAGCAAGTCTTAATGACCAAAACTCAAGTACTACCTCTTTGCAATACCCCTTGAATAATCTTTAATTTTTTTATAAAAAAAAAGACTTTTTAGAAAGGAAGAAGACATGAAGTGGGAGGACAAAATATCATTGTAGAAAATATGACAAAACAACAAAGCACAGAGAGGGAGTAAAGAATAAAGAACCTTGAATAGTGGCTACTTTTTGAACATTGCCAACAGGAAGGCAGTTTTCAAAACATTTGTCCTTCAAAATAAAAACAAGTTTTTGGAAGCATATTTTTTGAATGATGACATCTCAATCACATGACTGCAACTTCTTTTATTATAATTCAATTAAGCTTAAAACTATATCACATTTACAGGAAAACTATGATACATAGTTAAGTAACGGAAAACAAGCAAGATAGTGTTCAAGATTCTTTAACAGTGAGACATACATGCCATCATGTTTTCCAAATGGTTCATCATATTGAACTCCAACCCAGAAACCAGGTGCAATAGACTCTGCTCGGCCAACATACTTAACAATTCCTCTTTTCCCTCCTGGTTCAACTTCACATCTGTCACCAACCTAGGTATTTGAAATTTTGGGAAAAGTTACCAATAGAAAGAAAATACGAAACAAAAGAACGGGGATCCAAAAAGAAACAATTTTGTTCAGAATTATAACATTAATTTGTTAACAAAATGGCAAATGCTACTGGCAGAATCAGTCTTTTAACTGTCCTGTAGCCACTTAAAGGATTTGTAACAGAATTTACAACTCAGAAATGAGCAAAGATAAGGATATTATCAAGAAATTAGCATGCCCCACAATTAAATCCACTAATGGATCTGAGCATCCTGGCCTTCAATTCAAAGATTCTGGGAATCAGAGACTTAGATACATATGTACAACTGCCTTAAGTCCATGCAAAATTCCTAAAAGCTGAAAGACAAGAACACAGGTACATAACAACTAAACAAGTCGATCCCCTACCAGTGGTACTTGTCATTTCCCACCTTTGGTACAACCAGGAAACTGTGATTATTGGCAAGTTCAAAACTGTCTCCTATGCACTTAAAAATGATAACGAAAAAGTTGTTTCATCCCATTTATTAATAATTTCCAAGAGCAGTAAATATAATGTTCACGTGAGAACAATCAGTTCCACAGTATCAAGTTTCTCGAGAAAAATATGTATTACACTCAAAATTGAGAGGAACAACTTTTTTTCAAATGTTAGGCGCCTAAGTTGATACAGAATTGGCTAAAAATAGATTCCCTAAATAGTAATTCTATTAAATGTAAAATTATCTTACTACTTAGAAATCTATATTATTGAGAAGTATTATTATTGTTTTAGTAACTTAGGATTCTTAGTTTTATTAGTATTTTCCTATTTGTATAAGGATTAGTATTCCTAATTCTACTAATTTACTATTTCTTAATTTAATTCTAGTTAAGAAAAGATTATTATAAGTAATTATGTAATTTCACTTTTTAATCATCCAAGTATTTAATAATAATTTTTTGAGACTTTCTCTTATTTTAAAAAAGAAAAGAATTGAGAATTTCTCATAATTTGATTGTGTGATTCAATCAACCCTTAGTATCATGGCTAAGAATCTTACGTATGATATGTAGGTTCTTTTTCCAACTTCTTAGTATGCAAATTAATCCTAATATTGTTCCACATTATTAAGTATATAATTGTGACTAATTTTTCATGGTGGGAACAATAACAAAGTTAAAATTCATAATTTCTTCTTGTTGACCACAAAGTCACCAATGCGCACTAATCCAGAATCATCCCATACAGATGCAACAATGCCTATGTAGATAAATTTTTACAGTATAGCCAAAAAACCAAACAAAGTCAAGAAGAAAAGAATAAAGTGGACTGACTTTGATATTTGCACAGAGATCTTCCATGTAGTTATCTGTTATCTGTCAATAAAAATCAGGATCATAGTCATCATAATATCGATAGTCAAAAAAGACATATAATTCCACCAAATAGCATTGATGAAGGAATCCTGGGACACAACTAACTACTTATGATGTGTTAATGTTATCAATCCAATTTCTATTACAACAACGCGATTGATGGAACTTAAGAAAATATAAGCCAGACAAAATGCAACTTTTAAGGCTTATATAGAATCTTAACCCTCACCTTAGCCTCAAAAGCTGATGGATTTTGCGACACCAATTTTTCTTTGAATTTCCTGAAAGTGCCTGAAGTGTGCCAACAAAAATTACATGTAACTACCAAAATAAAAAAGAAAATATAGCAAGACATATAGTTTCCACAAATTGAGTCATAAAAGTATAGATTATAGACAACGAAAAAGGACGACTAACTCTTCTAAGAAGGACGCTATGCAATCTTCCTGTTAACTATATGTCACTTATACCAATACCAGCGAGTGTTGCCAAGAAACTAGAAAATATTTAATGCAGATTTCTTTAAGATGACTCAGAGGAGAGAAGGAGATATCAATTGGTGGTACGGAACGTAATTAAGAGACCATTGAGTGAGGGGGGGTTGGGCTTGAGATCTGTCATGGAGATGAATAAGGCACTTCAGGAAGAGTATATGCGGCAATTTATGAAGGAGAGAGATGTTCTTTGGAAGAGGGTTATAAGGGAGAAATTTGGCACAATGGACAGAGGGTGGAACTCTCAAATATTGGCTAGACTGCATGGAAAAGTGATATGGAAAAAAGTTTATATGGGAAGAGGCAAGTTCCAAGAGTGGATAAATTGGAGAGCTGGAGATAGGAATATAATTGACTTCTGGTCGGACTGTTAGCTTGAAGGTTGAGCATTGAGAGATAGGTTTCTGCAGATTTATGTTATAGCTCAATATAAAGACATTCATGTTAAAGAGGCATTAGGAGATGGTGAAGGAAAGAGGGAATGGTATGTGGAGGTCTTGTGGAATCTTGATGGTTGGGAAATCAATGACTATGTACTTTTGAGTACATTGGAGTTAGTTTCACAGAATGAGAATTATGATCAACCGGTATGGACACTCAGCGGTACTGGGAAATTTATTGTTGGGTCCTTCTACATATACTTGGCTAAAAAAGAGCCTGTTGAGAGCAATTTTCCATATAGACAACTATGGAAGGTAAAGGCCACTCCTAGGATAGACTTTTTCGCTTGGGAAGCAAGCCATGGCGTATTTTGACTATTGATAAACTGAAAATGAGAGGAAAGATTATGGTAAACTGCTGCTGCTTATGCAAGAGGGCAGATGAGACCTGCAACCATATTCTACTTCAGGGCTCCATTGCGCATAATTTGTGGTCTATCACATACGGGATTCTTGGTTTCAACTGGGTTATGATAGGCACTGTAAGGGATGACTTATGGGCTTGGAAGAGATTGGTTGAGCAGAAAAAACATTTGGGCGTTATCCCCCTCGCAATCTTTTGACCAGTGTGGGAAGAAAGAAATAAGAGAGTTTTTGAGGGGGTGGAAGATTCGAGAGAGAGATGGTTCCAAGATCGTAGGTTTTTTTGTTATGGGTCAACCATTGTACTCTATGGTGAATTGTGAGGAATTAATTGATGTACTCACTGACTTATAAATAATTGTGTACATTGGTTTGCACCCCCTTAGTGTCCATGCCTAATGATACGTTTTATACTTGCTATTTCAGTAAAAAAAAAAATATAAAGAAGTTACCGAGCGCTAACAACATACTTGAAGTTGGAAAAATTAAAAATTATAAAAAAAATGAAAAAATTCTCTGTGAAACCTTTGTAACACAACTCAGCATCTGTCTCTTGTCAAACCATTTTCCATCTAACTGAAAGCTTTCATGGCAAAAGGTAGCAAACGGGAATAAAATTCAGGTAAAAGAGAGAGATAAAGTATATCCCTTTAAAATAAACACAAAGGCATTGGGGATGCTAATCACTCTTCTCCTGCTTACTTTGCTCATAATATGCTTTCATATGACTTCAGATAACTAAAGAGGTCAAATGCAAAATAACAGCTTCTAGGAAGGCACTGGAACACAATCATCACTACTGCCTACCATATCATGTCCAGCCTTTTCAAAGTGGGTGATTGAAACGATATTTAAGAATGCTACAAACTGTGAAATAGTGCTTTGAGTATTTCAGTTTAGCTAAAGATTATGAAATAGTACTTTGAGTATTTCGGTTTAGCTAAAGATTATGATATCATATTTGCAGAAACTTACCACCACGTTTCTCATAGGCCTCTTCAGAAATAGTGTACTTTTCTACCAATGAAGTATCCTCCAACCAACCTCCAGAGGTCACTGATGAGGGGTCAAGATCTATAACATGTAACCGATACCTGTCCCAAACAGAAAAATTATAAAGAAATAAATCATGAACCCAAAAATTACAATCATGATTAACAAAGAACATAATAGTGAGTGTGACTAGATGGAGAATATAGAAATGGAAGGATCAACAGTAGAATTGGTTCTGATTTGCACATTTTTCTTAAAGAAAAACTGAAACTGAATTCCATTTTATGGTTTGAAACTTTCCTATTCTGATTTGCACATTTTTCTTAAAGAAAAACTGAAACTGAATTCCATTTTATGGTTTGAAACTTTCCTCTAAGCTAGTCAAAATTGAGAGACCGTCTAGCTTCAGCTTTAGCCGTACAACCGAACTTCTAATAAGTAAGAAATTTCTTGAAGAAATTCCAATGAATTTTAAAGAGTAAACATTCTTGTAAAACCGATCCATTTCCTTTAAAAACTATGATTCCAAATAATTGGGAAAAAAAAAAACAATGCCACTAAAGCATCAAACTTCTCTTAGAGAAACTAAAAAACTTCGAATTAAGCACATTGAGATAGATACATATAAGCATCTAAATTACGCGCATCATCTGTGATAGTAATAGAAGATCAAGAGAAGATCAAGCATCGTTATTAAAAAGAGAAGTTAAATACGAGTGGTCACTGACCCATCGAGTGGAGAATAGTAGCCAAGAGGACTGGAATCGTCTGCTAAATCTGCAATTTTAGAGTGAGCATCATCGTAAAGCTCTATGCGCATTGAACTAACAGATGTTCCGCATTTTTTCCACAGCTTCTCTTTCACAGACTCCACACTCATCTTATCGGAGAAAAAAGAAAAAATGTATCAACAAAGTATGAAAAAAAAAAGAAGAAAAATAGATAAGTACAACATATGAAGCAATCAAGAGAAAAATTAGTAACAGATTTGAGAGAGAAAGTAAACCTGTAGTGAGAAACGAACATCCGCAGAGAAGCTCTTGAGGTTGGAGTGCGTAACGCGCAAAAGTACGGATTCATCTCCCTGAATCTGTAAGCGAGACGAAGCCATGAAAAAACTTACAGAAGAAGCCTCTGGCGTAGTACGGCTGAGAGGAGAGAAGCGGGAGGTTTCGATGCAAGTCGCGTTTTCTACTCCCACAACTATGCGTATGTTCCCGTTTGTCGCGGCTTTTCGCAGCAACTTT